ATGCAAGGTTGGTTTAGACAAATAGCCTTTGTCAGAAGTAGGCAGGGCATTGGGAATTTTATGATAAGGAAGGGTCCTTAAAAAAAAAAGTTTTTTTTCTTTCTTTCTTTCTTTTTTTTTTTTTTTCTTTTTCTGGAGACAAAGTTTCTCTGCATTAACAGTCTTGGCTGTCCTGGAACTCACTTTGTAGACCAGGCTGGCCTTGAATTCACCGAGATCTTTCCGACTCTACCCCAGTGGGTTTCAAGGTGTGCACCACCATGTCACATCCAGGTTTTTTGATTTGATATGTCCTTTCACAAGTTCAGGTGTTCAAACACTTGGTCCCAGGCCGGTGACAATGTTTTGGATAGTCATGAAAACTGGAACATGGGGCCGACCTAGGTCCCAGAGGGCAGGTCTTAAAGGTTGTAGGTGACTCTGTTTCCAACCAGAGCTTTCTGCATTCCAGCCGATACCACCAAGATGTAAATAGTCTGTTCCCTGAGCTCTGTTCCCTGTGCCAACGCGGAACAGCCCAGCACTTCACCCCCTCCCTGCAATAAATCCTACTATGTCTCTTGAACCACGAGCCAAAAGAAACTTCCTCCTTCAGCTGCTTCTTAAGCGGTGTCAGAGACGAGAAAAAAAATAATACGAAGACTTTAGAAATTCTGGGAGGGCAAAATTTAAGGTGGGAAGATATAATAGCAGCTAGCACAAGCTGGGCCTAGGTTAAAATGTGAGCGCATCTCACCTGTTAGGTCAATTTAGAAGTTTAAATTACAGTTGATTTTGTACGTGTGTGTGCATTCATGCCTGTGTGTGTGTGTGTGTGTGTGTGTGTGTGTGTGTGTGTGTGTGTGTGTGTACACGGGCCACTTTGCACAGGTAGAAGTCAGAGAACAACTTATGGGAAGTCCTCTCCCTCTGCCATGTGGGTAGCAGGAACGGAACTCAATTTATCAGGTTTAGTGGTGAGTGCCTTGACCTGCTGGACTGTCTCCCCAGCCCACATTTTACTTTTCAGGGTTTAAGGAAAACCTGCTGTTGCTTATGGGCTGGCCAAGAGTCATTTTCTTTATGAGAAGTAGATTACTCCTAACAACGCAAGATGCACAGGATGAAAGTAGAGTTTCAGTTATCTCCGTAAAGGCCCGGCCATAAAATAGCTTTTCAGAGAAAGCTATGTGTCTCCCTTTCGAGGATGACGGAGAATGCTGCCAGGACAGAGAAAGGGTATGAAGACAAAAACCATTATCAATTTCTCATGGTTGATTTGTTAGCGGCTCCAGCAAGATAAATAATATTACTTTCTAATCCAAAGTGGTGTCATACCTGTATTTGCAACATTATTTCTTAGATCAACATGGCTTTCTCTTGCTAGAAATTATCACACACACACACATCCCTCTAATCAGGAATCCCTGGTTTGATTTAATGAGATCCACACAAAGGGGCTTGTCAGTAACCACAGAAACGGGGCAGGGCTTTCATAATGATGGTGCTTGAATTGTAGCCCCGTCTGAAAAGAGCCTTTTTAATTATAGGGTTTGCGGTGGGGGGAGTGGACTGGAAGAGAGTGGAAGGGGCGATGGTGGATGTAGTCTTTTATCTACTTAAAAGGATAGCAGGTGGGCCCCACTAACAAGTCTTAACCTCAGGACTTGGCTTAAAAACCCTAGCGGGGGGAAAAAAATTTTTTTTTTTTCATTTTAACCCTATGTATTTGCTTGTCTTCTCTTTCTTAAATGACAAGGTTTGATTCAAAAGGGCTCAGAAGGGCCAGGGGGATAGGCGTGAGGCCCACCAGACCAGTTCAGAGGGTTGTAATCCCTCTCTAAACACAGAAGTCTGGCCTGTGTGGGGGAGTCTGCAGGCTGCCCTGGTGAGCAGCTTGTAACACCGTCTGGAGCTATTTTGAAGCCGGTGACATTAAAGTCTAGGACAGTCTCTGGGACATTTACAGTGTTAGGTCATTCAAGCCCCTCTACATTTCTCACATCAAGTCAGCAACAGTGTGACTCACTCCAGAAGGCAACACAAGCCACCGAGTTAAAGGAGCCAGCACACAGCCGGGGCTGTTGCCCAGGGCAGGGCCCAGAACCCCCTCATGGTGGGCGGGAGCTGCTGGAGCTGCACACATCACAAGCTGGAGGAGTCACATCACCGCTTGAACAGGGGACAACGGGAAAATTTAGGAGTACCAGCTATTCCCTTTCATCAGGAAATGAAAAACTTTCCCAGAAGCTTCCTAAAGTTTCTGTTCACCTCTCATTGCCCTGAATTGTCGAATGGTCAGTCCCATCGCTAAGAAAATCAAGCTGAGCCGGGCGGTGGTGGCGCACGCCTTTAATCCCAGCACTTGGGAGGCAGAGGCAGGCGGATCTCTGTGAGTTCGAGGCCAGCCTGGTCTCCAAAGCGAGTTCCAGGAAAGGCGCAAAGCTACACAGAGAAACCCTGTCTCGAAAAAACAAAAAAAAAAAAAAAAAAAAAAAAGAAAAGAAAATCAAGCTGGAGCTGGGTGCTGGTAGTATACGCCTTTAATCCCAGCACTCCAGAGGCAGAGGCAAGTGGATCTCTGAAGCCAGCCTGGTCTACCAAGTGAGTGCCAGTACAGCCAGGGCTGTTACACAGAGAAACCTTGTCTTGAAAAAAAAAAAAAAGCCTGATGGGGTCCAGTAAGATGACTCATTGTCTGAGAGTACCTGCTGCTAAGCCAGGAGAGCTGAGTTTGATCCCAGAATTCACATGGAGGAGAAGAAAACTGGTTCCCTCAAATTGTCTACACACACACACACACACACACACACACACACACACACACACACACACACACACACTGTGGCATGCTCCCCTCCCCCAATAAATGAATAAATGTAATAAAAAATGTAAATGCATGATGGAATATTTTACATGGCTGTCCTGCCCAATATGTCATACAATTTGGGTCTCTTAGTGGTGTCATGAGTTATATAGCTGAAAATTGAATTTAACCAAGCAAAAAATCCAGCAGCATCCCAGAAATGAGATGCCTTCAATTTCTTGTTGTTGAGGTGACATTTATATTGCTCATTAGAAAGCCATCAGCTCAAAGTACGAATTATTTGTGTATGTGCAACCCATCTGGAACTCCAGAGGCATGGCACAGTATACCCAGAGCATTTCAGCTTAATAAAGACCGGCGTGAATGAGCACAGGTTTGAGCAGCCACCCTAGCTGAGGACAGGTTGAAAGGAAAATGGCGCTGGTGGCTGGTTACCGTGTGGAAAGGTCACGATTACAACAGAACCCAGTGGTACCTTTCAGAGCTTTATTAGAAGGGGAGAGAGAGAGAGCCAGGCCTGGCGGAGAGGAAACACAGATAGAGAGGTATGGAGAGAGAGATGGTGGTGGGGGGGACACGACGATGGTGTGGGGGGACACATGGCGCCGCCTTATAAAGGCCAGAATGCACCTGCACCTGCGGACACAGGTCCACTCGCAGAGATCATAAGGTCATGTCCGTCCGCGACTATGTGACCGCGTAACCATGGGGCATGGGGCACGCAGGACGTATGACCCAGAAATGACAAGGTGGAGATGTCTAAGTGTCCCACCGGGCATGCGGCATGCACGACCATGGGGGGACGGTTGGAATGCCTATCACAGGTCCAGCAATTTCATCCCAGCGTGTGTTTTATGAACTCGGAGCGGCGGCACCTACCCGAAGTTTTCTGTCCTTGTTCCTCTGCCACAGCTACTTTGCTGTCTGACAAAACTCTTAGATATTTCAACCCCAAAAGAAGCCCAGGGGCCTGGAGAGGTGGCTTGGTGGTGAGAGGGTTTGCTGCTCTAGTAGAGGACCAGGGTTTGGTTCTCAGCACCCTCATCCACAGCTCACAATCACCTGTTAACTCCAGCTCCAGGCACGGGTGTGTGTGTGTGTGTGTGTGTGTGTGTGTGTGTGTGTGTGTGTGTGTGTGTCTGCTGGCCTCCACAGGCACCCACACAGAGAGAAAGAAAACACACTTGGTAGCAAAAACAAAAATCTTAGGGCTGATGATGCATGCCTGTGAGAGCACTTCCTACCTGCATGGCATCCCTGGTTCAGTCCCTGGTACTGCATAATAAACACGAAGCTTTGTCTTTTACATTGACCTGAGTTTGATCCCTGGAACCCACAAGATATGAAGAAAGAATGACTCTCCAAAGCTGTCCCCTGAAATCCACATTCCCACTATGGTGGAGGGGCGCAAATCCAAATAAATAATACTAAAAAAAAAAAAAAAGCAAATACATAAATGTAATTAATTTTTTTCTAAAGTCAGGAACATGCTTTTAATCCCAGCACTCGGGAGCAGAGGCACATGAATTTCTGGGAGTCTGAGGCCAGCCTGGTCAGCCAGACCTACATTAGACAGACCCTGTCTCAGTATAAACAAATAAATACAGAAGAAAGAAACAGAAAGAGATGCTGTCTTCAAACCAAATCAACACAAAACTACCATTTAAAAACCCCAAAACAGGTTCCTTGTATTCTTGCTTTCTTTTTTTTTTTTAAAGACTTATTTATTTATTATGTATACAGAAGAGGGTGCCAGCTCTCATTACAGATGGTTGTGAGCCACCATGTAGTTGCTGGAAATTGAACTCAGGATCTCTGGAAGAACAGTCAGTGCTCTTAACCTCTGAGCCATCTCTCCAGCCCGTATTCTTGCTTTCTGATAAATGCAGACTATTCCAGTCAACAATGGTACCTGCTTTGAGTGTGAATAAATCTAATAAAACCAAATGCCAACTTCTTCTTCATGAAAGGAAGTGGGATGCTGGAATGGCTCAGACATCCTTAGCGAGACAAAGGAGTGAACAGTATTGACATTTCCTCCATATTGTCCTACAAAGATCTCATGGGTGTTTTAGACTCGTGGAGGAATTTCCTGGGGCTAAACACAATAGATCCTTTTCTAGATAGGGAAACATTCTCTAGTCCAAAAAGAAAATCTCCCTATGGATGTCTAAACTATGTCCTTACCTCCTAGATCCCACTGTTCAGACCGACAAGAGGCAAATGTGAATGATGAGGAAACAGCCAAATGATGGAGACTTGCTGGCTCTACCTGGGATGCTGACAGTGAAAAAAACATGAAGTTATGACTTCAAAGAGTTCTAGGAAAAGGAAGAGATGGGGTTGTCTTACATTTGCCATCCATCCTTCTGTAGAAGATGTGGATCGCCCATAGCTCTTCAGCCCACAGAAGCTTCCTCAGACCTATGAGAGACAGGTCCCCTGTGTCCAATGCCTTCTGTTTTTGTTTGATTTTAGTTTTTGAGACAGGGTTTCATGTAGCCTGGGCCATCCTCAAATTTGCTATGTAGCCAAGGATGACCCTCTTGTCTCCATCTCACAAATGCTGGAATTGTGCACACACCCTTACACCCAGCTTGTGGAATTCTGGGAGTCAAATCATGGGCTTCACAAGTGCTAGGTAAGTAACTACCAACTGAACTACATCACCAGCCTACCCGATGGCTTCTTCCCTCAGGCCCTCTGCCTCCCAGCCTGCTGCTCTTCGTTGGCTGCAGATGTGTGCCTGGCTAGCATGCACACAAATGGACGGTCTTAGAGCTAAGTTCCCTGGAGCAACACAAATGCACAGGCTTCAGGGGACTGGTGGGGTAGCCCAGTGGTAGGATGTGCGCTTAGCAGTTACGAATCCCCAGCACCACCCAGCAAAACCCCAATAAACCAAACAGGACACAGGAGTGGGTGGATACATCCTCTGGCTTCCTCTCCGTCTAGTGGACAATTCTCTGTGAGTCCCCTATAATAGTCTCTCAGGAGTTACTGTACAGGATGAACACCATCCCCCGCCCCCCCCCCCCCCAGTTGTGTAAAGAGATAAGCCATCAGGAACACACGCTCGTGTCTCTGTTGTGTTCCCTGTTTCGCTTCCCCCATAAACTCACCACGTTTCCTGGAGTCACCTCCCAAAGAAGCCACCAGGACCTGAAGGATCCAAAACGAAGTCACAACCCTGGAGGTCACCCAAGCAAGCTGAAACCCGAGCAAATACAAAGCCTGCCTTGCAAAGACAGCTCAAAACACTCTCCCTCCCTGCTCGTCTCACACAGAAGCTGGCCAGATGTGGCAGTCACAGGCATGGGAGGGGCATGGGAGGCTGAAGAAGAGGAAGGAGACAAAGATGATACCAGGTCTTATATTTCAAATACTTAATTTTCAGATTTGATCTCTTGGATCCCAGGCTGGCCTTGAACTTACTGTGTAGCGGAAGTTGGCCTTGAACTTGGTTCCCCTGCCTCCTCCTTCCTAATGCTGGGAATACAGGTGGGCATGATTGCACCTGGTTTATGTGGTGCCCAGGATGGAACCCAGGGCTTTGTGCATGCAGGGCACACACTCTTTTCTGCTGAGCTGCATCCCCAGTCTGATCCCTGAGTTTCAGATCCAGCCATTTGGAAGGATGATGCTACCACCCCTGAGCTAGGGGTTGCTGAAGGACGGGCAGTTTAGGGTAAAGACCCAGAGTGTGCTAATTTCTTTGCATAGAGAGCCTGTTATGTGTTTACTTCATGGGGAGCTACAGCCAGAACCAGAAATACGACTTTTGAAGTCCAGGGCAGGATGAAAATAAAGAGGTAGAGAGGTAGTTCAGGCAGGTAAAGGTGCTTGCCACCTAGCCTGACTAAGTTTCATCGCTAGGACCCACACGGTAGAAGGAGAGAATTACCTCTCACAAATTGTCCCCAGACATGCTGTGGCATGCATTCCCCCCACCACACACACAAGACAAAAATTAAAATATAATCTCTTTTTTTTTTTTTTTTGGTGGGGGGTTGGGGGGCGGTTGAGACAGGGTTCCTCTATGTAACAGCTCTGCTTTCCTGGAACTCGCTCTATAGACCAGACTGGCTTCAAACTCACAGAGGTCTGCCTGCCTCTGCCTCCCAAGTGCTGGGTAAAATACAGTCTTAAAAACTGAAAATGCGCCGGGCGGTGGTGGCGCACGCCTTTAATCCCAGCACTCGGGAGGCAGAGCCAGGCGGATCTCTGTGAGTTCAAGGCCAGCCTGGTCTCCAAAGCGAGTTCCAGGAAAGGCGCAAAGCTACACAGAGAAACCCTGTCTCGAAAAACCAAAAAAAAAAAAAAACAAAAAAAAAAAAACTGAAAATGCAAAGCCCCTGTTCCAAAGTTAAAACTCTAAAGCTAGCAACTTCAGAGCGTTAAACCAAGCAGAGAACCCTCCTGAGTGCTGGGTTCTCTGAGCAGGTTGCTTGAAGCTGGCCCCAGCCCTGGCTCCATGGAAACAAAAGGAAGAGGTTAAAGCCGGCTTCTCACACAGCTCACAGGCCATGGCAACCCAGAGAAGCAAACTGTCCTAGCTGGGCTTCTCTGCTGCTGTGATGAACACTGACCAAAACCAACTTAGGGTTAGAAAGGATTTATTTCAGCTTACGACTCTCAGGTCACACACACTCCATCATGAAAGGAAGTCAGGGTAGGAACTTAAGTAGGAACCTAGAGGCAAGAACCGAAGCAGAGGCCCTGGAGGGGTGCTGCTTACTGGCTTGCTCACCCTGCTTTCTTGTAGTGCTCTACCTGCCCAGTGACGGCACCACCCACAGTGGACTGGGCTTTTCCGCCTCAATCATCAATCAAGATAACCACCCGAGGGCTTGCCCACTGGCCAACCTGATAGAGATAATCCTGTAAATCAAGCTGACAAAAACCCTACCAACAGGGAAGTAAACAAAGATGGGTACTATTTCTTGTCTTTTAGAGACTCATGCCAAAATATCTGCAGATGAAACAACCTGGTCTGAGTTTTTGCTTCAAAATAATTTGGGGGGATAAAGGGAAGCAGGGAGTCCGGCATGTTGCCTTGAGTCCATTATTGATGAAGCTGGGTGATAATACATGAAATCTCGACATAATGTGCTTTAGAATTTTATATGTGTTTGACATTTTCCATCATTCAAAAACACTTTCAAGCCTGGCATGGTGGTCCCTGCCTGCAGTCCCAGCTATGGAAGAAGCTTGAGGCCAGGAGTCCAGGGCTCCAGGGCTCCAGGGCTCCATTCAACTTAGGCAGCATAGTTAAGACTTCGTCTCAAACAAACAAAAGCCCTGGGGATGGTGGTTGGAATGAGAAATGTCCTCTATAGGCTTGTGAATTCGAATACCTGGTCCCCGGTGGGTTGTGCTGTTTGGGGAGGTTAAAGGAAGGAAGTGTAAGCAGGTAGAGCCTTGCTGGAGGAATGATGTCACTGGAGACAGGCTTTGAGTTTATAGCTTGACCTCACTTTCAATTTGTTCTTTCTGTTTGTAGGGAGAGATGTGCTCTCTAGGACTCTTGCTTTGGCTGCCTGCTGCCACGTCTCCCTGCCATTACAGACTGTCCCTCTGTGAGCTCAAGGCTTCTTCCTATAAATAGTTTTTTGGTCATGGTGTCCACGGCCACAGCAACAGGAAATCAGTGATTCGACGATGCATGGAGCCAAGCATGGTGTGAGTTTGGTGGAGCATGCCTGTAATCCAGCATTTGAGAGGCTGAGGTGAAGGATTGAGGCAAGATTAGGTCATAAAGCCAACAACACTTCACCCTGCTCCTTCTGGAGCCTGGCTATGTAAACATACAAATTCCAAAGTGAATAAATTTCCAAAATACTGTTAGTCCAGAACAGGGCAGACTGGTTCTGACGTGTAAATCACCTGTCGTTTAAACCGTGTGTGTGTGTGTGTGTGTGTGTGTGTGTGTGTGTGTGTGTGTGTGTGTGTGTGTTTGCACATTTTGTGTTTGAGCATATGATCAACATCAGGTCTCTCGCTCAATCACTCTCCACCTACCTTTTTGAGACAGGTCTCTCACAGAACCTTGGGTTTACCGGTTCAGCGAGGTTGGCTTGCCAGGGAGCATCAGGGTTCCTCCTATCTTTTTCTCCAACCCTGGGATTACAACTGTGTGCTTCAGGAGGTGGAGGGAGAAGGTGTGTTGGCTTTTTATGTGGACACTGGAGATCCAAACTCAGGTCCTCGGGCTTACATGACAAGCAATTTACCAACTGAGCTATGTCCCCAACGTCCTTGCTGCCTCTCCCCCATGGCCAGATTTGTCTCAATATGTAGCTTTGACTGGTCTGGAACTAACTATGTAAACCAGACTGGCCTTGAACTCACTGAGATCCACCTGCCTCTGCCTCCCAAGTGTGAGATTACAGGCCTGCAGTACCATGCTGGGCTACCCCTCCCCTGCCCCTTTTGAGATAGAGTCTATGAGTTAGCCCAGGATGGCCCCAAACTCATTATGTAGCTGAAGATGACCTTAAATGCCTCATCTTTCTCCCTCTGCCTCCTGAGTACTGGGATTAGAGGCATGTGCCACCACATCTGGCTTTATGTGCTGCTGAGGACTGAACCCAGGGCCTCATGCTTGTGCTAGGCAAGCATTCTACCAACTGAATTCAATTTTTAGCCCCTCTTTTTTCTTTCTTTCTTTTTTCTTTTCCTTTCTCTTTTTCTTTATTTTCTTTATTTTATTATTTTTTTTGAGACAGTTTCTCTGTGTCACCCTAGCTATCCTGGAACTCACTCTGTAGACCAGGCTGGCCTCAAACTCAAAGATCCACCTGCCTCTGACTCCTGACTGCTGGGATTAAAGGTGTGTGCCACCACACCTGGCTTAGCCATTCATGGTTTGAGACAAGCCATTCACTTGGCCCAGTTAGCTCAGGTTAGCCTCAAGTTCTATATATAGCTAAAGATGACCTTGCAAAACTGCTGATCTTTCCCTTTCATCTTATACCATCTTCCTAAATCAGGTATTATTACTTGGGTTTTTTTTTTCTCTCTCATTCTCTCCCTCCCTCCCTCCCTCCCTTTCTTCCTTCCTTCCTATCTTTCTTCTAAGTAGCTCAAGTTGGTCTTGAACTCACTAAGTCCCTAATGATTCCCTTGCCTCTAACCTCTTAAGCGCTGGGTTACCAGTATGCACCTCCATGCCCAGTTTCATACAGTGCTGGGGATCAAACCCAGGGCTTCATGCACAGTAGGCAAGCACTCAACCAGCTGAGATCTATCTCCAGCCCCCCACCCCCACCCCCAAGCCCCTAAATTACAGGATCCAGTTTTGGGCTGGTGGGAGACTTGTCTTCATTGTGGTAATGCAAGATCTTGGGAGCTGTGCCCCGTAGGGTCAGGGGTCACAACAGACTCCACGAGGAAGCAGGTTGGCTGCTGGGACTAAGACCCTAGTATTGTCAGAGGAGAGGTCAGGATTATGTCTAGGATAGAATTATGTGGTCCCTGTATCCTCAAGCTGAGGTTTCTACACAAAATAGATGCCTAAGTAACAGAATTGACTTTATCACAGCTCTGGAAGCTTCAAGTCCCGGGTCAAGGAGTGGACAGGCTTGGTTTCTCCATGGCCTTTGCTCTGTTTGTGCAATCCCTGGTGTCTTCCTCTTCTTGTAAGGATGCTCGTCACACTATATGAGGATGCCACTGTGATGTTATCATTTAACCTCAATTACTTCAGAAGGCCTTATCTCCACACATACTAAGGGGTAGAGTTTCAAACCATGAATTCTGGAGGGACAGCCCTCAGCCTCTCCCTGAACTTTGACCTCGTCATCACTGTAAATAAATTACAATCAACATGGGAGACCTGGCTCAGGGGTTAAGAGCACTCCTTGCTCTTCCGGAGGGCTCAAGTGCGGTTCCCGGCACCTACATGGTGGCTCATTACCATCCGGAATCTGACACTTGCTCATGCCCATATGAACATACATGCAAAACCCTCCTACACAGGTGAAATAAAATAAATATCTAAAGGAAAATGATAACCACAAAACATTTATTGAAATAACAAGTAAAATCTGCACTGTCTATTGTATTTATCTTTGACTCACTGAGCCAGACCAGGCGGTGGGGCAGGGCGGAAAGAAGCAGGTTCTCGGGCCAGTGGGGGAAGGCTTCAGCTTAGAGGTGTTCCTGTGGCCCTCTCCTCTCTGCCCCAGGTGAAGATCCACAGAAGAACTGATGTGAACTTAGTAAAACCATGCACTTTAAAAAGCATGGCTTTTGAGCCGGGCGGTGGTGGTGCACGTCTTTAATCCCAGCACTCGGGAGGCAGAGCCAGGCGGATCTCTGTGAGGTCAAGGCCAGCCTGGGCTACAGAGGGAGTTCCAGGAAAGGCGCAAAAGCTACACGGAGAAACCCTGTCTCCAAAAACCAACCAAACAAATAAACAAAAAGCATGGCTTTCATTGCCTGTGGGATGCGGTCTTGGTTAAGCCATACAGCCATTAATCTTGTCACTAAGGGCCACCCCCTCGATCCCTTCAGGTACACCGTTTGCCACTGAATTAGTCATGGTTTGGTTTGGCTGTGAGTGAACGAAAACCCAAAATGACCGTTGCTTAACAAATCAGACAAACTGAACAATAGCAACCTGCTTCTGAAAATCTTTAGGGTCCAGTCCTTCCAGTGACGTGTGAGGATGTAAGGAAGGGACAAACAGACAACAAAACAGAGCAAAAAAAAAAAAAAAAGAACAAAGCGAAGGGTCATAAGCCATAGGGATCTCACATCCATCCATCCTGCTGGCCCTGATTTAGTCCATGGACCACGCTTGCCCTACAAGGGCAGCCAGGAGTCATGTCCATTCTGGGTGTCTATGTGTGGCATTAAAATTTGTTATTGCTAGGAAACATGAGAAAAGCAAGCGTTGCTAGGAACTGGGAATCTGCTTTGTAACAGATCCCTGAAACGTTCTGGACTTCTGCAGCTCCGAGAATCAACCAAGATGTTGACTGAGCTTTATATTTAAAGTGACTTTTTTTTTTTCTAGTGTTAGGGCTCCAACTCAGGGTCTTGTTTATGCTAGGCAAGCATTCTATCACCCAGCCATATCCCTAGCTCTTTAAGGAACCCTTAGGGCTGCATCAGTGGGTAAACTGACTGCTGAGCAAATTCATGGAGACATGAATTTGGATTCCTAATACCCACTTAGAAAGCCAGGCATGGTCATGCACATAAGCCCATGCTTCCAGTATGATGGAGACAGGAGAGCGTATGCATCAGCCAGGAATTCAGATACACCTACCTCCACCTCCCAAGTGCTGGAATTAAAGGTGTGCACCAACACCACCCAGCATAAAATAAATAAATCTTAAAAAACAACCCAAACAAATAAAACAAACAACAACAAAAAGAAACAAGGCAGAAGAAAAGTAAAATGGCCTCCCGGGCGAACGTGCTTGCTGCCAAGCCTGACAAGCTGCTTTCAGTCACTAGGAGCCGCACCGTACAAGGACAGGATTGCCTCCCGTGGGCTGTCCTCTGACTTCCACGTGCATGCTATGGCATGTGTGTACCCACACACATGCACACTCCTACAAATAACAAAATTAAAAAAAAAAAAAAAAAGGTGAGTGGTGGTGGCCCATCCTTTTAATCCCAGCACTCTGAGTTCGAGGCCAGCCTGGTCTACAGAGCAAGTTCCAGGACAGAAAAACCCTGTCTTGGAAACAAAACAAAACCAAGATAGAGAGTCATAGAGGAAGACACTTGACATTGACCTTTGGGGCCCATAGGTGCACGAATGAGTGAGCACACCTGCGCACACACACACACACACACACACACACACACACACACACACATGCCCACAAACACCGCAGACAGGTACACATACCACACAAGATTATTTTCATGCTTTCAGAGTTCACAGGTTCCCAGATGAATGGAAACAGGTAGAACTGTGCAAGATGCTATGAAAGCATTGCTGCGGCCCAATCAAAGGGGACTTGCAGAAAGCACCAGTTTTGTTCTACTGGAAACCTCCTAAATCAGTTCCTCCCGGATTACATCTGGATGTCTAGTCTCTAGACTCTAGAATCTCATTAGGTATCCCTGAGGAGCCTGGAATTCATCATGTAGACCGGGCTGGCTCCAAACTCAAAGAAATCCTACTATCTCTGCCTCCCAAATGCTGAGGTTAAAAGCACACATCATCAAGCCAGACAATATTTAATTTTTTTTTCTTAAAGCAACAACAACCACCCCCACCACGCTCCCCAGCCCAGGGTCTCAGGTAGTCCAGCTGGCCTTGAAATCACCATGTAGCTGGACATGACTTTGAACTTCTGATCTTACTCCCTCTCCCTCCTGAAAGCTGGAATTACATGTGTGCTCTATATCCAGTTTATGCAAGTCTGGGATTGAACCCAGAGTTTTGTGTATGCCCATCAAGCATTCTACCAACGGAGTTACATCTTCAGTCCATGTACCCATAGGTCTGTAAATTTGTACCCATGGGTTGATAATGGGGTGTACTATGTTGAAAGAGCTAGGGACCACTTGAAGGGGACAAAAGGCCTAACTCTGGGCCCTTACCTTGAAACCCACTGAAAGCATACTTTCAATAGTTTTGTGATAAAATAGTAGATAAAGTCACAAGGCTAGAATGTTTACAGACAAGGGAGCCTATATGACTAAACCAAGTTAAA